AGGCTCTGCACTGGCTTCCCACAGCTGCCCCTGGGGCTTGGCTGCTGGTCAGAGCAGCATGTGAGCTGTGGGGAGTCACAAACTGTCCATCTGCCAGGGGCAGGGGGCTGTTTTCACCTGCCCCAGCTGTGCGTGGGGGCGGGCTCTCTGCTCCAGCTAATGGCTTACAGATTGGCTGGGGGCAGGGCCTGGGGGGAGGTGAGTAACTCCTCTTTCCCCCCCCCCCTCTTTTGGGAAGGCTCCTTTGCCCAGTCATTGCATGTTCTGTCTTAGGGCTGAGATGAGTGACTTGAGAGCACAGAGCTGTCATGCTTGCAGTGTGGGGTTGTGGCTGGGCTCCAGCACCTCCTGGAGGAGCTCTTCCTGCCATGCATGTAAAAACAACTAGTGGTCCTGTGGCACTGTAGAGAATGTCTATACTGCAGCGTTATTAATAACAAGGTGTGTCTACATAGCAAGCCCATTATTTCAAAATTATTTTGAAATAATGGGCTTATTACAAAATCTATAACCCTCATTTCAGGAGGAATAACGCCTATTTTAAAATAGCTATTTCAAAATAGGGCATGTATAACAAAAGAAGTGGCCTCCAGGGATTCTCACAGGTGCCCTGGTAACCATTTTGTCCACACTCATCAGAACTCTATAGTTCCCCTTCCCCTGCAGCCCTTAAAGGTGCAGTCAAAGGGCAAACAGTTTGTGGCATGACAGGAGCCCGGCTCGCATCATGCCACACATCAGCACCCTGGTCTGGCTTCACTGCTACCATGGCAGATCCCAGTGCTCCAAATGAGCCCCCACATGACTGCCAGAACAGCTGCAGCCAGCTGGGGACTCATGCCCTCCTCTTTCACCCCCCCGATAGCATCCTGGTCTGGTGCAGAGATCCTGAATCTCACTGAAATCTGGGGACAGGAGGCAAATTTCCAGAATCTCTGCACCAGGCACAGGAATGCTGACATCTATGTTCAGATGGCCAACAGCCTGTGCCAGAAGGGACACATGCATACACAAGAACAGGTGCGCAGGAAGGTCAAGCAGACCTACACCAAGGCCAGGGAACACAGCTCCTGCTCAGGGACAACATCCCACTCCTGCCCCTGTTTTCATCAGCTCCATTGTATCATGGTGAGTGGGTCAGTCTGCCCCTCCCCCCACACCTGTGGACTCTAGGCTGGAGATGCCTGTCATCAGCCTCCTGGAGGGTGTGGCTGTGGACAAGGAGAAACACACCCTGGCCCTGGAGCCAGTACCCCATTCCCAGGATGCTACTCAGGGATTGGACAAAGCTAGGGAAGGCTAATCCGGTGAGTTCCATTACTTTCCCTAGACACGTGGGGAGAGGCAGCGAGGGGTTGCATGGTCCTCACTTGGCCTTCTCATCACACAGCAGCCAGTGCTAGTCCGGACCAGACAGCCCCAGCAGGCTGTCACAGAGGAGCCTTGTGCTTCTGCTCACAGGGTTCCTGCACAGGCCTGCCTTACTCCTGACCCTGTTGTGGGACACTTTCCCACCACTAAGGAGGCTGGGGTCATGGACACACACATACAACAGGGCTGTACACTGCACACGGTCATGCCCACACTCTTGGAGCAGCATCCACTCCCGGGCAAGCATGGTGAGGCAGAGGACACTGAGCCCCTGCCAGGGGAACCTGGGAGGTAAGGATGTTAATTATTGGGTAATTGACTAATTGATGTATTTTGCATTGACTATTTGATTAATCAGTAGGGCACCTCCACCTTTGAAGTGTAGCAATAGCCCTCCAGCTGTTGCTAAACTTCAAAGGCAAAAGTGCCACATGGAGCCCTAGGGCTGTTGCTACACTTCAAAAGCAAAAGCACCACATGGAGCCCGCCGCAGTGTTTCAAAGTGGCAGTGCCATGTGGAGCCTGGGGCCAGCGGGGGAGTCCCCAGCTGATCCCAGGCACCATACAATGCTGCTGGACAGTGCGGCTGGCGAGCAGGGCTCGCCACGGCTCGGTGAGCCCTGCCGATAAGCATTTGCTTCCTGGATAGTCGACTAGTCCTTCACATCCCCACTGCTGGCAGGGGGAAGAAGTGGAGGGGACCCAGTAGCACCCTCTCTGGCACTTGGAATCTGACACACACACATAGCTCCCGCAACATCCTCCCCCTCTCCTAGAATCATAGGGTTGGAAGAGACCTCAGGAGGTCATCGAGTCCAAACCCCTTCCCAAACAGGGCAAACCCCAATTAAATCATCCCAGCCAGGACTTTGTCAGGCTGAGACTTAAAAACCTGTAGGGATGGAGATGCCACCATCTCCCTAGATAACCTTTTCAGTACTTCACCACCCTCCTAGTGAAATAATTTTTCCTAATATCCAACCTAGACCTCCCCCACTGTAACTTGAGACCATTGCTCCTTGTTCTGTCATCCATCACAACTGAGAACAGCCTCTCTCCATCCTCTTTGGAACCTCCCTTCAAGAAGTTGAAGGCTGCTATCAAATGCCCTGTCACTCTTCTCTTCTGAAGATTAAATAAATCCAAATCCTCTTAGCCTGTCCTCGTAGGTCAAGTGCTCCAGCCCCTTAATCATTTTGGTTACCCTCCACTGGACCCTCTCTAATGTATCCATATCCTTTCTGTACTGGAATGGGGTTCCATAGGGAAGAGGAGGGATTGGAAGCTCCCTTTCTGGGTGGTTTTTCAGTCCCCCTTTCACAAAGCCTTCCTAGGGGATGGGGTAAGTAGAGGCTGGTCCTGGTATGTAGGAAGGAGGTTGGGCTCAGGGACCTCCCACAGGCTGTGTTTCTCTGTAGCCTTCTACAGGTGGTGAGGGCCATCAACACCATTCTGCTGTGCAGGGTCACCATCCTGGACAATGTTGACTCCATTCTTCCCCCCTCCTCTACCTCAGCTCATAAAATAAACAAGACCTATTTCTGTTGAAAGAATGAACTGTCTGTTTATTTGGGAAATCTAGAACTAGGGAGGCACTGGGGAAAGAACCTGGGAGGGGGAGAAGGTGGGGTTCAGGGATGGGGCTGCGACTGGTGCCTGCCTCAGGTGGCTCCACCTCCTCATGTATAGGGCCTTCAGCAGCCACAACAAGGTTAGGGGAGAAGCCAGAGGAGCAGGTTGTGGATGGGGACTTGGGAAGGAGTAGGTGCAGGGGGACAGCGGCAGGACTGCCAAATCATGGCTGCGCACATGCTCTGGGCCTCCTGGGACAGCTCCTACCTGGTGGTGCGGTGCAGCTCCTGGTCAGCACAGCACTCTTCCAGGTCCAACCTTCTAGATACCGCTGTAGGGAACTAAGGTTGTGTGTTCACACTCAAGGTCCTTGTGGGATTGGTGGCGCCTGCGGGTCTCGTGGGGTTGGGAGGTTGGTGCGGAAGATGTGGTTCTTACCCCACTTGCAGCTGGTCCAGCTGTGAAGAAGAGAAGGACAGTCATCCCAGGAGATACTGTGTCTGAAGCCCAGCCATTATGGGTCAGACAAAGGCGATGTTCTTCAAGCAAGGCCATCTAAAGCCTGTACACTGGAGCCTTTCCTGCAGGGGCACAGATGTCCTGGAGTGTGGCGGGGAGCCTTGCTATCCCTATGCCCTGGGGACAAGCAGGCATGGGGAGGTACTGGCCAGGCCAGGAGCCTGTAGGCAGGAGAGAGATGATGGGGCAGTGTCCTGCCAAGAAAGGACTTCTATCCTTGCCTGATAATCACCCTGACATCTGTTGGGAGACCAATACAGCAGTACACTGACAATCAGGAAGTTTTTAGAGAATGTGGGGGATAACTTCCTGGTACAAGTGCTGAAGGAACCGACCAGGGGCCAAGTGCAGCTTGACCTGCTGTTTACAAACAGGGAGGAACTAGTAGGGGAAGTAGATGTGGGTGGCAACCTGGGAAGTAGTGATTGTGAGATGGTAGATTTCAGGATCCTGACCACAGGAAGAAAGGAGAGCAGAAAAGCAGACTTCAGAAAAGCAGACTTTGACTCCCTCAGAGAAATGATGGGCAGGATCCCCTGGGATACTAACATGAAGGGGAAAGGAGTCCAGGAGAGCTGGCAGTATTTTAAAGAAGCCTTATTGAAGGTACAGGAACAAACCATTCTGATGTGCACTAAGAAAAGAACGGTTACTTACCTGTAACTGTTCTTCGAGATGTGTTGCTCATGTCCATTCGAAGTAGGTGTGCGCACTGCGTGCACGTCTTCCGGAGCGTTTTCCCTAGCTGTACCCATAGCGCCGGCGGGGTGCCCCCTGGAGTGGCGCCGCCATGGTGGGGCATAAGTACCCCTGCCGGTGCTGCCCCACCTCAGTTCCTTCTTGCCGGATACTCCGACGAAGGGGAGGTAGGGTGGGAGTCGAATGGACCTGAGTAACACATCTCAAAGAACAACAGTTACAGGTAAGTAACCATTCTTTTCTTCTTCGAGTGGTTGCTCATGTCCATTCGAAGCAGGTGACTACCAAGCTAACCCCAAGGAGGAGGGGTCGGAACAGTCATAGCACCAGAGTCATAAAGGAAGGTGAACAATAAACAGGTTTATTTGAACAAATAAACAGTGACAAGTCTCCAACCCAGAACAAAGACAACCAGATCTATATATTTACATATTTACATCACAGATTCGAGGACTGCAGAGCCCTCCCTGGCCTGTTGAGGTAGCGCATAATGTGTTGCAAACGTGTGGAGGGAAGACCAGGTGGCTGCCCTGCAAATTTCTGTGATAGGTACTTGGGCGCCAAAGGCTACCGAGGATGCCTGCGCCCTGGTAGAGTGTGCCTTCACCCTGGGTGGGGTTTTACCAGCCAGTTGATAACACTCTGCTATACATTGCACCACCCATCTTGATAACCTTTGCGTAGAAATAGGTGAACCTTTTCCCTTATCCCCAAATGCAATGAACAATTGTTGGGATTTACAGAAGGGCTTGGTTCAGTCAATATAAAAAGCCAGCGCTCGCTTGGCATCCAGGGAGTGTAGAACACGCTCCTTAGGGGATGCGTGAGGTTTAGAGAAGAACACCGCTAGATAAATCTCCTGAGATAGGTGAAAAGGAGAAACCACCTTCGGAAGGAAGGTTGGATGAGGCCGTAGCCTTACGTTATCATGTGAAAAAACAAGGTAGGGCGGCTCTATAGTCAGCGCCCTTAACTCGGATACCCTTCTAGCAGATGTAATGGCTACTATGAAAGTAACCTTCAATGAAAGGTGCTTCAGTGAGCATGTAGCCAAAGGCTCAAAAGGAGGGGACATAAGCCTGTGAAGGACCAGGTTGAGGTTCCAGTCAGGGTATGGAGCCCTCACCGAGGGGTACAATTTCTCCAAACCAGTAAGAAACCTTTTAACCACCTGGTTAGAAAAGAGAGAGGCTCCTGCTGTACCAACATGGAAGGCGAAGAGAGATGCCACATGGACTTTAATAGAAGAAAAGGACAGGCCAGAAGAACGGAGTTGAAAGAGATAGTCGAGAATAGCTGGAATAGGGGCAGAGGACAGTTGTACTCCTCTCCGGGACGCCCAAGACGAGAAGCGCCGCCACTTGGCAGCGTACGACCGTCTAGTAGAGGGCTTCCTACTGCTAAGGAGCACCATCTGTACCTGTCGAGAACATTCCCTTTCTGCTTGGTTCAACCACGGATAAACCAGGCCGTCAGGTGGAGAGACCGCAGATCCAGGTGAACCATTATTCCTCTGTCCCAAGGCTGGGTTAGCAGGTCCCGAACTGGAGGGAGTGCTATGGGGTCTTGGGTCAGCATGTCCACCAGGATGGGGAACCAGAACTGTTGGGGCCACCTGGGGGCTCTGAGGATGATCAAGGACCTGAAAGTTCTCGCTCTGGTCAAAACCCTGGAAACTAGTGGAAATGGGGGAAAAGCATAGAGAATGCCCTTTGGCCACACAGTCGTCAGGGCATCCCCCAGGGAATATTTCCCAAGCCCCAGCAAGGAACAGTAGTTCCTGCACTTCGCATAGCGTGCCAAGGCAAACAGGTCTAGGTGGGGATAGCCCCACCTGTGGAAAACCTGGCTGAGGACAGAGTCCTTGAGCGACCACTCGTGGGCTCCAAAGGATCTGCTTAGTGTGTCTGCAAGTAGGTTTTTGCACCCGGGGAGGTACTCCGCCTGAGGCGTGATATTGTGCGACACACAGATGCCATAGACGCAGAGCCTCCTTGCATAGGGGTGGCGAACGCTGCTTGTTGAGGTAGAAAACCGCTGCAGTATTGTCCATACGTATCAGGATGGAGCGGTGGGAGAGCCTCGG